ATATATATATATATATAATACAACGGAAAAAGCACATCAAAGTGAGAGCTGGAAACAAAGATTACCTCAGAGAGTCTATGATGTTTGCATTAATCTCTCTGACAGCATTTTACCAGAGCATTTAAACTAGAAAAAAGTATTTGTAACTGTTGGTAGAAACATTTTTTTCTGATTCCATTTTTTAGATTGCAAGGATTTTTTTCCCCAACCAGTCTGCTTGTAAATGTCCAGATCCCATTAGCTACAAAAAGGATTGCAGTGTTTTATTCAAATTTTACACAAAATGGAGAAATGTAAAATCAACTGCCCCTTCAACATTTCACTCCCTTTTGATTTAATGGGATCACAGTGGTACAATGAAACCTTGCCAATAGCAAAAGTAAGCACTGTCACAATGAATAATGCAGTAAAATGTCATGTATCTCAGCTTGTGACAAGGTATTTTGTATGACTTGACTTGCTAAATGGTACTGAAGTTAATATTGAATGGGCTGAGATGTTCACAACAGAATGTGTAGAAAGAAAGTGTGTTAAGCATCATGACTTTGACAAACTGTGACTAAGATAACAAAAATCTTAAAACTTCTGCAGGCTTTGTGTTTTAAATATCTGCCAGCTCGTGTTTTACCCGCCCCCTCAGGTGATCTCACATCTTACATCAGTTTGTACGATCATCCAGGCATTGGTCAAACCCACGTTGCCCTCTGTGCCGAAGAGCTGGAGGCCCTTCTTCAGATCGCTCTGGGCGTAGTGATCAATCTGAGAACACAAGAAAAGAAAAATGGTTGGATCAGAAAAGAAAATAAGATAATTTAATAAATCTAATTTTAGTTGGTTAGTTTGAGTGAGATGTGATGGAGGACGTGTTCCTTTTAAGCATCAAATGTTTGGAGGAGCTTATTTGCATTTTCATGAGGTGGGAAAATAAAGTAATTTGAACTCAAGTGGCAACAAATAACAACATAGATTCTCTATTGTCTTCTAAGAAAACTGTAGTACAATCTGTAGAAGTCAAACGACTAACACAAGTTAGTCGTATTTGTTTTTAATATCAGTTTTATCAGCATTTTTACCTTTATTTGACAGCAGACAGAACAGAAAGGCAGAAATCATCGCATTTACATGGTCACATGGTGACTCTGTTATATTGCACACTTCTGGTTCACAGTGTGGACTGCTAGAAAGTATTCTTAGAATATAATAGAAAAGAATAAATTATACCTTTCTTATGAAGGTCATATCTATAATGCATTATAAACCCATTCATAAGACATGAAAATGCCTTTACAAGGCTTTATTTCTTCTTCTTCTTCTTTAGAAATGTTGTTTATAATTAAAGGACCCATTATGTCCACCTCTTTTTTAAACTTTCATAATGCTTTATATGTAACTACTGGCAACCTTTGCTGTATCACACAATTGCTATTATAAGACATTATGTATAAGACATTATTCGATTTCAGGAACTTCTCTATGTGTCTTTATAACTGGTTGAAGTTTTGGCATTAATCATTTGCAGTGTTACCCAGGACCCAGATTCTTCTTTCAAACACTGTTGTCACTTTGACATGGAGGTATAGAGCATTAATTCAATTTAATTTGTAGAATGCCAAATCGTAACATGGGTTATCTCAGGACAGTTTTCAAATAGAGCAGGTCTAGACTGTATATTATGAATGTGCTTATAATGCATTATAGACTTGACCTTCATTGAAAGTGTTTCAAATTTCCTGCCCTGACAGGGAAAAAATGCAGTCTTTGTTTCTCCATAATAACCACAGTGAAAAGAACATACATAACATCAATAAACATAATAAACAATACACAACACAAATCATTTGTGAGGCAGCAATATATGTGCCAAAGTTAATACAGCTTATTTACAACTCTTCGGCATTGGGATATTTTAGTGCGGTTTGTTCAGTATATTGATTACACACAGTCTTATAAAGGATCCCTTATGTATGTCTTTTCATGTTGAGGAAGATGTGGTTACATGTTTTTCATGGCAGACCACCACACGGTACTGGTCTACATAGTGGACCACTTAAGACTCCCTAAACACAAGGTTTTATAAGAAAGTGGACGTTTATATCTGACTGTCTGCAGTTTCTCCTGAGCACAGCTAAATGGACTGAGAGAGACTGCAGTCTGTACTGATGCTCATACTCAGCTCATATTTCCTCAAGTGTTCTCACATGACATCAAGACTAATAAAATGTTGTCAACAGTGGAAACAAGTCCACTTTGCTGAACTTAAAGGGGACTGAACCAACACACTGCAGCTGTTCAATAAACAAACTAAATGCAAATCCCTGTGGGTTTAAATTAGAAGCTCTGGTTTAGCAATGTGAACCTAAACAAACAAGATAAAAACATTTACCAAAATCAGCTTTTCCAGTAAGCTTTGAATCAAAGAGAACAAACTGTTCGTGTGAACACAGTCACTGGGATAAACATGCTTAAATACACTGAAGCTTTGCAGCTACTGAATCTAAAAAACATTCATTTAAAATCAACAATACAATCAGACTATCGGTGAGCTTGGGCACTAACAGCAAACACAAACTCCAGACACACACACTGAAGCCGCTCAGTCTTGTTTAAACATTTGGATGGTCAATCCCATCAGACATCAATCGCATTGATCTCCACTGACCTTGCACTCTCCTACACTGCAGCCCTTTAGCCTGTGAGGTGCTGCAAACAACAAACGCCTTGTTAAATCTCTCTCTTCAAACACTCAAATAATGGCCTTTAATTTGCCAAACAACATTAGTTGTTGAATACTGCATGTGATCTCTGACATTACGTTAAACATATTAAAGGGATGAACAAGGTAGGGTATTACTTGAAAAAGCCTTCCTTTGAATTTCCCTCACTGTAATTTGACATTTCCACAAGAAAAGGTTATTTTAAGGACAATAGAGGTATAAACAAGTTCTCTACTTCACTCAGATGTTAACACACACTCTTCCTACACCAAATTCAATAAACACTCCACTTGCTGGGGTGTTATCGGTCTTTGCTTTCCATTTTTAATCTACAAAGATGTCAGATATTCTGGATTTGTCCTTAATTACCCATCAAAATGAGTTTTTGAATAAGGCTGAGTTAGGAAATGGAGAATCCACCCATAAGCACACATTAAAGGACCAGTGTAAAGGATTTAGTGGCCTCTAGCAGTGTAATTGCAGATTGCAAGTCACTCATTTCACCCTCCCGTTTCAAGCACCAAGGAGAAACTACAAAAAACATGAAAGCACCTATGTAGAGCCAGTGTTTGGTTTGTCCCATCTGGGCTACTGTAGAAACCCATGGCATCCGTAGATATGATTGTAAGGTACAGCAAACATAACGATTCCTATATTCAGATGATTATACACTAATGTTATACACTGGCCCTTTAATGCATTTCTGCCAAAGATTTCACACCATTTCACTAACCAACAACTGCAGGGTGTGCCATAAAAAATGTGCCAGCAAAAGTGAGAAAGAAGAAGACTGCAAGCTAGCTAACGGATGAACGTAAATCCATTCAGCACTTTGTTAGGTGTTAATGATACACAATTGTTATATACATCTTTCTTATTTTTTATCTGTTCACAAGAAAACTCCATGGTATACATAATAATTAGTTATTTGTACATCTACATGCTTTTGTAGCTTGTTATAAGTTAATTTGGAAATGTGAGTCACTTAACCATAAAAAGAAAAAAATTCACAGATTTTTCATGATTTATGAGTGATGCTGGTGTGTCTCACCAGTGTTAAGTGAGTTGAGCCATGTCTGGATTCCCTTATAAGGCAAAAGTTCATAAAATTAAAGTCACAGATTTAAGAGAAGTAAACCATACTATCTATGTGCAAGTATTGGTATTTAAGGGTGTTTTACATATTTATTAAAGGTCATTAACATGCCTGCAGGTCTGTTGTGTGAAGCTTTTTGTTAAACTAGTGGCTGTGGGGTAAAATGTTTCCTAGGCCCTGGGGCAAGATGAACCAGGTCTTCAGCTTATATTCCATTCACTATAATTTGCACATGCGCTGTATTCTAATACTAGAACAGATATCACCATGTCAGACTGCTAAATGTAAAACAAAAAACGGATCATCACCTAACCAACAAATACAGCAGATGAAACAGAGTTACTCTGAAAAGATATTAAAGAAAAGAGAAAAAAAAAAGACTGAATTAATATGAACGGGTTATGATCTAACTCTCCCTCGTCTCATCTGTTTTTTATGTTTTTGTTTTCATAAATTGATTTAACAGCAGAACATGTTTAATGCAACAAACCATAGTGACAGTTTCATATTTTCACTCAAAACAACACTGAAAATTTGCTCAATAAAATTGCCAGGCGCAATTTTGTGGGGGTGTGGTGACTGTATATCAAATCCCAGAATGCCAACATGACACTTGTATCCTTGAAGAGATTCTTTTCTAAAAAAAACTAAAAGTAAGTAAAGAAGCAATCTTATGGTTTGAAATGGACTTTGTACTTGACAAGCAAACATCCCAGCTGCTTATCAGTTCTATGCTTTGCCATTTACTAAACAATAACACGCCATTATGAACTTCTGAACCCTTGTCAATACTTAGTCTGTTGTGGGTTGCCATGGGAGACATTGTTGTTGCACATTTTTTTGTGAGGTACTTGATCAATGAAAACATCCCATGCATCCGCACAAAACAAGTGAGACTTCTTGTTTTTCTCTTATATCAGTGAAACACTGACTTAAATAGCAAAAGTAAAGCTTTTTAGTTGGTAAGTATTGTTAAAAAAAAAAAAAAAGTAATATTTTCCCTGGCAAATAAAACAACCCAAGAAGCCTCAAACCCGGCAAATGAAGCCAATGTGGGAGTAAACAAAAAGTTGTAGTTCCTTCAACGTCACTTGAGGCTAAGGTACAGAAGTGAGTCAATGTCCATAACAGTCCTTAAAGCAGAAATAAACCTGGTACAAAAACCGGTTTTGGTCACTGTAGTTTAAAAAAAAAAAAATTCTCATGTGAAGGTATTTACAATTACCCTGATTCAGCACGCTAAACTTATCCACAATACAACTGTATATCATTCGATTATCTCATTATCATGGCACCTGGTCAGTGGGTGGGATGTATTAGGCGACAAGTGAACATTTTGTCCTCAAGTGGATGTGGTTGTTGAAAGATTTGAGCAACTTTGACAAGGGACAAATTGTGATGGCTAGACGACTGGGTCAGTGCATCTCCAAAACTGCAGCCTCTTGTGGGGTGTTCCCCGGTCTGCAGAGTCAGTAGCCTAATCAAAAGTGGTCCAAGGTAGGAAAAGCAGTGAACAGGCAACAGGGTCATGGATTGGATCACATGGGCTGACCATCACTCCCAATGTGCATCAATGAGCCATGGCCACCCAACAGACGAGCTACTGTAGCTTAAATTGCTGAAAAAGTCAATGCTGGTTCTGATAGAAAGATGTCAGAACACAGTGCAGCACAGTTTGTTGCATATGGGGCTACATACCATTATGACCCTGGTGGTCATAATGGTACATAAGCCCATGTTTATGGCTGATCGGTGTGTTTGTGGCACAGCTATTTTCAGCCACATACACCATTTATAATTACACTTACTGCACATCCAACTTTTTGCTGCATAATATCATAGGTGGGATCCCTCGAAGCCAATCACACCGCTCAGTCAAAATTAGATGTTGCATTAGGATCTTTAACACATTATAATATATTACATCATCATTTTTGATGCCTCAAAGA